TGTTGTTAGCTACCCATAGGGTTAAAGGAGGTGGTGTAACAATATCAGGACGTGTCATCAAAGCTACACTGATAGTGATAAGCATGCAAGACTTCGATGTCATCTTAGGTATGGATTGGTTAGGTGAGAATCGCATTTTGATAGATTGCGAGACTCGAATAGTGACTCTCAGGCTCCTTTCAGGGGACAACTTTATCTACAAGGGAGCCACTTCCAAAGGAGCACCAAGCGTCATAGCATCATTAAGGGCTAAGAAGTTGATTCGTAGTGGTGCAAGTACATTTCTAGCTAGCGTGATCTTAGACAATAGTAACAAACAAGTAACCTCATCGGTACACATCATCAGGAGTTCGTAGATGTCTTTCTGGAGGATCTGCCAGGTTTTCTTCCAGCTAGGGAAGTCGATTTTGGGATCGATTTAGAATCAGGAACTGTGTCGATCTCCAAGGAACTTACAGGATGGCACCTGCAGAACTCAGGGAATTGAAGGAACAGTTACAGAAGCTGTTCTATAAGGGTTTCATCCGACCCAGTGTATCACCCTGGGGATCCCCTGTTCTATTTGTCAAGAAGAAGGACGGGTCCATGCGGTTGTTTATTGATTACAGGGAACTAAACAAAGTCACCATAAAAAATAAGTACCCCCTCCCGAGAATTGATGACATGTTTGATCAGCTACAGGGAGCAACAGTCTTCTCCAAAATTGACTTAAGGTCGGGGTATCATCAATTGAGGATCAGAGAAGGGGATATACCCAAAACAGCCTTCAGAAGTCGTTATGGACATTACGAGTTTCTCATTATGTCCTTTGGCCTTACCAATGCACCAACAGTTTTCATGGAACTAATAAAAATGGTGTTTAAGGAATTCTTAGACACTTTTGTCATAGTGTTCATCGACGACATTCTGGTATACTCCAAGTCAGAGGCGGATCATGAAGAACACCTAAGAACAGTCTTGACTATACTGAGAGCCTAGCAGTTGTATGCCAAGTTCTCCACGTGCGAGTTTTGGTTGTCTGAAGTAGCATTTCTGGGTCACATGGTGTCAAGCAAGGGGATTACAGTGGACCCAACTAAGATAGAAGCAGTGATGAAGTGGCCGAAGCCGACCACCGTCACGGAGGTGAGGAGTTTTCTAGGGCTAGCTGGATACTACAGAAGATTTGTCTAGGATTTCTCCAAAATTTCCTCAGCGCTAACTTAGTTAACCAAGAAGGGCAAGCCCTTTGCTTGGACTCCAGCCTGCGAACAGAGTTTCTAGGAACTCAAGAAGAGGTTGGTAATCGCACGAGTCCTTACAATTCCAGAAGAGTCAAGTAATATCGTGGTGTACAGTGATGCATCAGGGAAAGGTTTAGGGTGTGTGCTCATGCTGAAGGGTAAGGTGATAGCATATGCTTCTTGACAACTTAAGGAATATAAACAAACTACCCCACGCATGACCTCGAGTTAGCAGCGGTAGTATTTGCTCTAAAAATGTGGCGACATTACCTGTATGGCGAAAAAGTACAAGTCTTCATCGATCATAAGAGCCTAAAGTTCTTGTTCACGCAGAAGGAGCTCAATGAGATAAAGACGATGGTTGGAACTGGTAAAGAATTATGACATAGAGATCCTGTACCATCCAGGCAGAGTCAACGTTGTAGCTGAAGCATTGAGCAGGAAGACTGTGCATACTTCTGCGATGATCACCACGCAGAAAAGATTACAAGATGAGATGAAGAGGGCTGGGATAGACATGGTGGTTAAAGGTGGTACTGTTCAAATGACACAGTTAACCATACAACCCACCCTACGAAAGAAAATTATCAACGCTCAGAGATCTAATGAACACCTCAGTAAAAAGTGTGGAGACAGATTGAGACAGAGAGATCTGAGAATCGTCTGAGAACGGTAAGCGAACTTCCGACGCTCTTAACTCGTCAGATAGTCAAGCAAAAAAATTACGAAAAAAATACCAGAACATAGCCCATAACACAATCCAAATTTAAATCACTTTGTGCATTCGTGTTGTGGTAGCGAAATAGAGTTGCTATCATATGCATTACGTGATCTTTAATGCGGAAACATTCATTTAAAATAATTTATCAAACGATGTGATATGAACCAAGAGACATCAATCATACAATATGCTTCAATGAAGATATGAAGAAAATATTGTTGAAATTATCAAAAGATATTTCAATTCATGGCACATTGAAGAAGAATGAAGTTTCATGTTCTAAATTTTGGGTGGATTACATTTTAGAGTAATTTAGAGTTGTTATATTTCGTTAATGTATTTTAAGATTTTTTATTTACTTTAGGTTACAATTACATCATGGTTAATTATACTCATTAAGTATGAATGTTACAACTCTTGGAATACCTTTAATAGTTTCATTTTGAGGCTATATAAAGCCATGTATGTTGTATTTGTAAGAGACTTGGAAAATATAGTAAAAAGAAGCATTTGTGCTCTTCTTTAGCCAATGGCTAAGTTTCTTTGCAATTCTATGTAGTTTAGGTTGCATGTACAATCATTCAAGCTCAACATGATCAATCTGGCTTGTGGAGTGATTCGAATCTCAAGCAAGTGTTCTTGCCTTGAGATATTTGATCAACAAGAATCATTCAAGCTAGACATGATCGAACTTGCTTGTGGAGTGATTCGAATCTCAAACGATGTTCTTGCCTCGAGATATTCGATCAACAAGGTAATCTGAATCTTACTCCCCTTGTAGTGGTTCGTTATCTTATCACGATGTCTTGAACTAAAACATTCGCATTAAAAGCCTTAAAACAAAACAACGAAAAATAATCAACGCAAAATATAAATAAATCAAAGAAAGTATTAAAATGATGTCGTGATCTAACTAAGATCTAAGAAATAAAAATGCAACTACCCTAACAATAGATTGATTTGAGAAAGAAAAAAAATGAGATAGAGCATATATGTCGAGATATTTCTTTACCTTCAATGATTGGACTACAAGATGACTAATCTTTACAGTCGTTTTGTTTTAATTGTATCATCGAGATGATGGATCTGAGGCTGAATTGAAACTTAAGGAGCTAATAATTCATGTTGGTACAAAGAATAATTAGTAACTCCGATCTGACCAACTAAGTTCCTCCCATATAAATCTAGTTCGAATAGTTGTTTTATGTATGATAACACATGTGTTTATGTATTTACGTGAGAACTATCGTATAATTCTATCATATAATTTGAATGATTCCATTTAGAATATTTTCAGTCCCAAGATTTGAAAAGTTTCCCTTTTAGTATTAAGAAAAATTTCTGGTCTCTTTAATGGAGTTGGGTTTGAGATTAGGAATTAGGAAATGAGCCTCCATTTGGGTTCCCTCAGAAACAAAAAGATCCCGACGAAAACGACGTCGTTGGCCGATTTTCTAATCCTCCGCCGCCGGTTTTTCACCTGGGTCTTCTTCCTCCTGGCGTCGCCGCCTCTCGCCATCTTCTAAAACTGGTAAACTTTCATGTATTTTGGATAAGGAAGCTAATTTAATATAAAATTAGAAAGTAACGAAATTTGAGAAGTGAGCAGGTGTTTTTACAGACGTAATAAGCGGAGCAGCGGCGGCGGTGGAGGGCGGAGGCAAATTGGGCGTTTGTTGGAAGAGATTGGTGGAGAGGCGGCAGTGATCAGAATTTGGGTTGCAGTAAAAAAACCGAGGCTTTCAAGAAAACTAGAAATTTGGTTTCAAAACACTCGCCACCACTCTCACCTTGTGCGCGTCTTGTCAACGCGCCGCCCCAACAGCATCCATTAATTAGGGTCTCTTTTCATATTCTTCTTCAAAAAAAAAAAAAAAAAAAACAACAAAACAGGTGGAATCTTATTTTATCTGGGAATTGAATCAAATTGATTTTGGGATCTTAGTGTTACGAACTAAGGGTTTGCATATCTAAGCGTTTACGAGAATTCTTAGATTAAGTGGTAAGAGTTTCCTTATCACAAACATAAATTTTAAAAATAAAAATGAAAAACGAAAAACTTATAATGAAATGAGGCCTAAATTTTTTTTTTTTTTTTTTTTTTTTTTAACAAAAAATTATTGAAAATCCTTAATTTTGATAAGGGTTATTATAATGTTAGAAATTAATGTACCAAAATGAAAAAGAAGAAATAAAAATAAAAAGAAAGATAATGAGAAAATATTAGAAGGTGGCAGTATCTACTACATTTTCCCAAAGATGCTAAAATTTCATGATTATTTGACCCTTTTGGAAGCATGCAATTTGCAATGATTAATGTGTGGCTTGGATGCGTTTAATCAATCTATATTCCAATTAACATCTATATTTGTTAGCTAATGATAGCATTAAAATGTGCTATCTTTTATGACCTAATTTGTGCTAGTTTTGAAGCTAAATAATTTTATGGTTGAAGTAAATTTAACCAAAGATATCTTTGGGACAATGTTTAAATGTTGTCTAAAGTGTTTTGACACCCCTAGCATGTAAGCATAACGTCTTGAAATCTCAGTGTCACAAATCTCACTTCAACACGATATTATATCGTGCATCTATACATATTCATCTCTAGTGTCTCAATGCTATCAAATTTTTTCCTAAATTATCATTCTATGGCTATCAAATTTAATTTTTTCCTAAATTATCATTCTATTAGGATATAGCATCTCGACCCACTCCAATTTTTCCTATATAGTCATGACTTTTACGTGAAAGGTTAGAACTATATTAAGATGTTATAATTTTGGCATGTTACTTTTAATTGGTGACATTTTAATATATTTTATCTAGATTGTATCCAATAAGTATGAATCATGGATAAATAAAACTTTTTTAAAAAAATTAATTTTTTTTAACAACCCGACAACTCAATTCAATCCTAACCCGAAAATAGAGGGTTGAGTTGAGTTACCAATCCAACCCAAACTTTTAGGATGATCCAAAAAATTCCCTAAAACCATCCCGACCCCTGTACACTCGAAAACTCAGTTGACTAGCTTGTCAAGATTGAGATTTAGACATCTCAAGATAAAACTTAGTAATGATGTTAAACGAAAGTTTTAACAACAGAAAGTTGAACTTCAAGAAGTCCCAATAAAATAAAAAGCAATGAAGATAGAGGCAGAAGAACAGGAGAAAATATGTGATTTTCTTCTAACCTCTGTAAATAACTTCATTTTCTTAACCTCATACAATTACAAACTCCGCCCGCTTCCGTTGAATGTTTCTCGAGTTCATCTGCAGTTGGGGAAGAATGATTTGGACAAACGTCCACGGTGGATTTTGAGGACGAGCAATTCGGGATGTGTACTCAGCTTCCAGTAACATTATCGGTCCTCAACTGCTCGACTGGAGGAGGAAGGAGAAGAGCGAGCCTGGTTTTGTATCTTTCAATGCGTTGCAACCGTTCTTCTCTCAATCTAGAGGAATTATACGAACAAAATTATATTCAAAAGGAGAATCAAATGACCAAATGTCACTCGGATTTGCTGAACTACAGAGATGAAAGATCAATATGGGAAAAGAATGTGCACCGTGATCGAACTTTCTTTGCACGTCGAACATGTCGTTTTAATAACTCTTGCGTTGATAAGTCCTCAATGGATTCCTCATCCTGAAATGCAGAAACACAGGTAAAGCTATGTCCAATAGTCCTTGCAGAACAACCTTTTGGATATAAACGCTTAGAAGAATTCAGTTTGCCGATGAACTAAAGGATTTGGTTAAGAGAGCAAGCAACCCAGAGAAGAAACCATAACAAATTTGCAGTATTGAGCTTGAGGTCCTGTATTTACCGTAACAACCCACGCCCACCGCTAGTAGATATTGTCCTCTTTGGACTTTCCCTTCGAGCTTCCCCTCAAGATTTTTTAAAAGCGTCTACTAGGGAGAGGTTTCCACACCCTTATAAAAAATGTTTCGTTCTCCTCCCCAACCGATGTGGAATCTCACATTACCCCCCCCCCCCCAAGGGTACAAAGTGGGCATATACTAAACGATTGACAACAGAAAAACCGTCATTCCTTTAATAAGGAAGAACATCAAAGAACATGCTTCTCACCAATACATGCCTGAGCTTAATCTATGAGTGCAAACTAAACTATACTAATCTGGCACAGTATCTTTTGTTCATTAGTTTATTTTTATTTCGAAACCAAATCTAAAATTCTCTGTACTTCTACCAACCTTATCTTTCTCATCAACTTCTTCTTCGACGACTTCCTTCTTCTGCGACGGTACAGCACCAGTCACGGCGATGGGCAACGGTCTTGGAAGAGACCTCAAAAAACTTCCATATTGAGGCTGCCAGTAGAAAAATATCAGCAAGCATTTTAGAAACAAAACAAAACAGCAAGTGTATGTTCCTTCTGTGAATATATTACAGATAGGAACAGCAGAAAAAGGAAATGACATCAGCTAATGCTTTTTGCATGCACCATATGATAAAGAAAAGAACTTTGTCTATTAAATGCAGAAAAGAATGCATTGAAACTTAGTAATTAAGCAGTAGTAGATTAAGTAATCAAGTAAAGACATAAGAAAGCCATAGGATATCATGTATAAATTTGCATGCACCTAATGAAAGAACAACAAAAAACGATAGAAGCAGTGCTAATGTACACTCTTCACCGAGATTGTTGAACATTTTTAAACTGAATGCAAGTTTTCTGATCTAGTTCTCGGTCAAGTTATTGACTCGTCTATACCTATAGAGAGAAGATGAATTTAAATAAACCCCATTTTGAATAAATGACTCCAATATTGATATGAACAAAATATGTGTAACAACCCAGATCCACCGCTAGCAGATATTGTCCTCTTTGGGCTTTCCCTTTCGGGCTTCCCCTCAAGACTTTATAACACGTCTGCTAAGGGAAGGTTTCCACACCCTTATAAATGGTGTCTTGTTCTCCTCCCCAACCAATGTGGGACATCACAATCCACCCCCCTTCGGGGCCCAAAATCTTCGCTGGCACTCTTTCCTTCCTCTAATCGATGTGGGACCACCCCTAAATCCACCCCCCTTTGGGGCTCAGCTCCACGTCTGGCACATTGTCCGCCTCGTGTCTACCCCCTTCGGGGAACAGCGAGAAGGCTGGCACATTGTCCGGTGTCTGGCTCTGATACCATTTGTAACGACCCAGATCCACCGCTAGCAGATATTGTCCTCTTTGGGCTTTCCCTTTCAGGCTTCCCCTCAAGGCTTTAAAACACGTCTGCTAAGGGTAGATTTCCACACCCTTATAAATAGTGTTTTGTTCTCCTCCCCAACCAATGTGGGACATCACAATATGAATAAGAAAAATACTGCATAAAGGCCAATTGGCTGTAGTGTTAACTATTAAGGTGGTAGAGAGGTCCCCACTCGATTTCTACTTCGTTAGCATCACTGATCCAAGATAAAGGATTACTCTGTTAGGTCTTTTCGTTCCAGAGCTAGCCGGTAATGGACCTACTTACCTTGCTTATGGACCATTAGCTGAGCTAACCCTGGTTCTATTGGTTTGGTGGTTGCTACCAAGACGATTTCTTTATGCCTATCAAAGAACCTCAAGATACTAACCCACGAAAAACGATACGAGAAATTGAAAGAACTCATTTACTCCACGAGGGCGACCCGTGAAAATACATAGGTTTCTTACTCGTGCAAAGGAACTCTTTCTTGTCAACTTGAACAACTTCTCACGATCTTTGTCCCACATATCATTAGTAAGATCATGATCTTTACAAAAGGCTTTCTATCTAAAACAAGTATCATTAATCTAATCCTATAAGGATCCGAAAAATAACATTCTGTCAAAACAAGAGGAGCAAAGTGCAGTTCAAATCCACAAAAAGGAAAGATGTTGTAATCAGAACCAACACAAACCTGGCTTTCCTCTTGAGACCCATTCCTCAGCCATGATCGACAAAGCGCATAAAGCGAAGCCCCATCAGTTATTCCAACCTAGCCATAGTTACTATATTAGTGTGCCATAAAAGTGTAGATTCTAAATTTATAAAAGAAAAGTGGCGACTCTAAGCAACTATTCATTAAAGATAATTGAGGATCTGATCACATAGAATGCAAAGCCATTGTTCAGCAAAAGATGCCCTTTATTTCACACTAAAAACATATAAAACAATTACCATCACAGTCAAATTAATCCCTCCCTCCGTTTACAAGTCATATTTTCCCTAACTGATGAATCAAGTGCATCATCAGGTCATTGGTAGAAGAAAAAAAAATGTCATAATTTTCAATTTTATCAAAAAATTGAACAAAACATATCCACAAAATGATTGATGCTCCAAAAGGGAAAAAAATCTTAGTTTGTTAAACAGCTTTCAAAGAAATGGAACCCAAAGTATTTTGCAAGTTATACTCAAAATGTAAGCTCAACAACCAGAAACTAGTGGTAAAACAAGGTGAGGAAGAATTGCAAACATCAAAATAGCATATATAATAGCATATATAAGTAGATATTGTCCTCTTTGAATTTTTCCTTTCGGGCTTCCCCTCAAGGTTTTTAAAACGGAAAAAGGTTTAGGTTTTCACACCCTTACAAACAATGTTTTGTTCCTCTCTCCAACTGATGTAGGATCTCGCAATCCACCCCCTCCCCATCAAGGCCCAGCGTCCTTGTTGGCACACCGCCTGGTGTCTAGCTCTGATACCATTTGTAAAAGCCCTAGCCCACCGCTAGTAGATATTGTCCTATTTGGACTTTCCCTTTCGGGTTTTCCCTCAATGTTTTGGAAATGCATCTACTACAGAAAGGTTTAGGTTTTCACACCCTTATAAAGAATGCTTTGTTCCCCTCTCCAACCGATGTGGGATCTCACAATCCAATCTATGTGGGATCTCACATAAGTAATCATCATTCAAACAAAATGAATCTAGAAACTCTTCCATGCCACAAATGTTCCAAAAAAGAAAAATGAACAAAATTCAGAATTTTAGAGCTTACTTTTCGATCTCTAACCACACAAAGAGCATCATCTCTGACCCTGTCCGCAGACAAAAACAGAAAAGCACTATGTCACAAGTTTAGAAAAGAAAGAATGAAATATATGTAACGTATGGAGCAACCATTACCTCATTTCTTTACACCCATTTGCCTCGCCGATTGTTGATGGAGGAAAGACCTAGAAAGAGTAATAAAACCAATTTCAACTATGAAAAGGATATAGGGAAGGGGATGGGAGACACAACAAACTCATGGGGTTTGATAAAAGGTAAACAGGATCAATTAAAAGAAACTTGGGCACTCCAAAATGATATGAAATAACCGACCAATTGAAAAGGACAATAACTCCACAAAGCATAATTGAAGAGCCATGTTGGTTAAACTAATAGCATGTAATAACTATCCCAATAGTTAGAACAGAAACAAATACAGGCATCCAACGGTCACACAATCTCAAGTTTAAATGTTAACTCAGCTGTTAAAGTCATCAACAGAACAAATGGAAACTGATTGGCAAAACTCAAAATCAGAGTTAAATCTAGCAATTCATGTATCTCACCGAAGCCTGAACTTTCTTATCCCATCAAACAAACGCCTCAAAAGCTAAATCAAATTACTACCCAACTAACCTTTGGATCAGAGGAATTGGGGGCAACCTTAATCGAGCCCGAGATGGAGGACCCAGAAAAGGGAATAAGTTGCTGCTGCAAGTTGGGAGGTCGAGCCATGTGCATTGGATGGCTCATGGAGTCCAAATGAGGCGACCCAATCGGCCGATGCGGGAAAGAAACGACGGGGCGATGTGGGTAGCCGCCAGGGTTGGCCACTGTGACGGTCTGATCGACGGGAAGGGGTCGAATGGGGCGAGGAACGAACCCGCGACCGGAGGAGGCGACAGGGTAAAGAATTGCCTGAGACGCATCCTGCTGAAGCTTCGGTAATTGGGTGTTCGGAGTTCGAACGGGGATGTGCTGCGCCGTGTAGAGGGCTTGAGGAGGGTAGTGGAGATGGTGGGTTTGAGGAATTGAAGAAATGGGTCTCGATGGCGCTTGATTCGCTAGCGGACGAGCAATGGCTGCGGCGGCAGTGGTAGCTGCAGCTGGGGATAAAGTGAAAGAAATCGGAGCGACAGTGGTGGTAGTGGTGGCGGTGGCGGCGGCGGCGGCGGGCGTCGTATTGGTGGGGATGAGAGGGGAGTCGACGGGCATGGTGGCGGGGAATTTGGGTGTTTGTGGTTTGATATTTTGAATATCAAATTGCCAAATTGAATTTGTGTGAATTCGCCGGACCGGTGGTTTGAACTCGTGGGGGGTGTTTTAGGAGAATCAAATCAATTTTTAAATATTATTTTGATTTTCTAATTCATCCATTTTCATCTTGGAGTCATCCAATAGTATGTTTCGATCATCTTCCCCCTTACTTAGAAAAAGTGAGCCACTTGTTCGGTACAAGATACTATCCTTACCGCCGGAACAATTAGACATCCAACCCGTAATCGTAATACCCTAATTGCAAGAGCAGAGCTCTACCAACTGAGTTATATCCTCCCGAGCCAAATGGGACTCGCATGAAGGAGTTAGATGCTTATTCTATTCTTTTCCTTAGCGTAATTGGGTCATCCTAAACTTGAATCAAAGATCTCGCCCATAAAATAGATCATTACATCTACAATCCAACCAATTGGAAGAGAATTAATAGATTCCGTTTCGAGAGCGATTCATCCTTACCAAAAGCAGCATACAACTCTCCAAGTGTGCTGGTTACCGAATTTTAAGATTAGGTTAAATGTTGTTTCAAACTAATATTCCTACCAAAATATATATATTAGAATATAATATAAAAAATGTTTCAACTATTTAAATTATTATAAAAAAAAAAGTACTAAATTTGGACCGATTAAAAAATTATTCTTTTCCAAGAGAAAAAAATAAAATAGACTGTCCATTTTGTATGAACATGAATAAACAAAAGCAAAACCCCCTGAAAGCCCATTTTTCCTCTCGAGCAATTCATACCATAATTTCCAGAAATCCTTTTACTCTTCTTCTCTCCCCCGTGATTCTTCATCTCTCTTCTCCTTCAATCTTCCATCCCAGAGCCATGATTTTCGTCGATGGAATACCCTTCACCGTCGAATCATCCTCGTCAAATAAGGTACTTCCCTGCTTCAATCTTCACTGTTTTTCATTTCCCTCTCTCCCTAATTTTCACTTTAAGTTATGAACCCTCTAGCTTATGTTTAAGTTTCCTCTCGTTTTTCCATTTCTGTGTTTAATTTTTTATGAAATCGATTCAGAAATTGCCCCACTTTCTTGTTTAACGATGTGGGCATTTTCAATTCTATTAGCAGAGGAACATGAGCTTGGATGGATTTCGAGCTATTCAGTAATATAAATTTGTTGTTGACTGTTCTCTGATTGTATTTTCCACGATCAAGTGTGTGTACACTGTTTGACTTCCAGTGCTTAACTTTGTAATGATTCATCTGCTCATATTTGCTTGATCATTATCGTTTTTCTTGATCTTTGACCTAGTAAACGGTTTTTTTACTGATTAATTTTCTGAATATGAGTGGGTTTGAGAACATATTCAAGATCTATCTAGCATGTTAGCATCTGATGGGCAAATTTTTTCTTTTAAATTAGATCACAAGCTTTAGGCATCCGGCAGCCCATGCTTGGACAAAGTTGTATTTGTTTAACCATTCAGAAAGAACTGTGTTTCTGAGCAGGGAGCTGATGTGCTGTATGCTTTAATGGAGTGTCCTTTTCTTGTTGATGCCACAAAATCATTCAAGAGTATTCCAGAGATGAGGTTCACAGATTCTGAACAGTTTGGTGTGGAGAGATCAACAATTTGTAAATGGGTTTATGTGTTTCAGAAAGAATATGCCACAGTAGATCCTGCCTTGGTGGATGTATTTTTCTCCTCTCCCTCTCTTTGGTTAAACTGCTCTTTCATGAATTTGAATTATGACCTTTGTTACTTAAACTTACTGGATAATTGATATGAATAGCTGCGTAGGGACTTCAAGCACTGTGTTTTCAAAAGCTTCCTGTCGAACCGTCTTCTAGTAGTTGTAGCCAAACATCTAATGCTCCTGTGTCTCAACCACGACCTTACTTGAACAATATCAATGTTATAGGTTGTACAACTATGTCGTTGGGTTTTAAAAAGTTATAACGCTTTTGTGTCCCATGAGATGTCAATAATACCCCGAGGTTAGGTTTTCGAGATCACGAAAATCCTCCGAAAGATGCCAAAAGATTATGATATTTATCCTTAGGACTATAACAAAGAACCTAAAGCAAGTTATTCCTTTACACATCCATAAGTATTTTCAATTGCATTCTGAATTAAAGTTGGTGATCAGCTGGGTAAGAAGTATTAGATCCTGATGTTGAAGCTTTCTGTTCTTTTCTAACTTTGTGTATTTATACCCACAATGCATAACTAAAGTTCGTTGGCACTGATGAAGCAACAACTTGTGTGGGCGTAGCTTTTCGGAATCGAAGAAACGGAATGTAAGAATTATTTCTGAGAAGTTATATGTATTTTCTTCTGCTAATCTCGCCATTATGCTACGCTTGTTGCCAACTTATGCTTCCTAATCTCATTTCCTGGCCTTCAGGACATCGGTTGCTCATATAGATTTTCCAAACATCATAGAAAACGCCGTCTCGCAGATGTTATCCTTAGTTGTCGATCCCTCTTCTGATGCCGAGTTAGATGTAATGTCCATAATGTCAATCCTGTTTATCTAACAAACGAATTGATTTAAGTTAATGCTTGAGGACTGATTCAAATCTATTACATAATGTAGGTTCATTTAGTTGGAGGCTTTGAAGATGTTCTACTCAAAGTCTGGCCCAGAACCAATAACTTTGTGATTCATTTCCAAGGATGCCATCCACACAATCAGAATATTTGAATTGAATTGTATGCATTGGGGTTTGATGCAGGAAAGTAATGATATCACCGAGTTGGAAGATCGTAAAAAGACAGAGGGTTATTCATTTCCGCTGTGTAACAAAATTATCGAGCGTTTATGGACAAGACCGGAGACATTTCATCTTCAGACTCTTTGTGTTCTTCATCACAACACTCGGAGGGACTCTAAAGGGAATGCTTACCCCATCTTCAGTGGATTCTCGGTTAGTCTTTGATTCATCCAGTTTCATGTTCTGTTTATTTTCTTTCATCTTTTCGGGTTGAGCTATGATTTTCATCACAATTCACGAGCTGATTTACGAGCTATAAGATGATCAGCATTGTTTGAGTGCGTTCTGTAAAACAAATTAAACCTTTAGAATGCAAATTTAACTTAAATGTGCTACTTTTCCTTTTGGTAATTCAGGTGAAAACTTCCGATGGATCTGTGTTCCCTGCTAGCTTTGACAGTACTTCAAGATGTCCAGATGAAGTTATTCGGAGAATTCGACTATCTTCCTCGTACGAGGATCCAAGTTTGAAGGGCAGACTGCTGGAGACATACGAAACTCATACCGATCAGTTCAAAATCGAACCATGCTGCTGGTAATCTGTCAACCTGTAACTTGCAAATCCTCCCCATGATCATTTTTACCTTACTATTAACTCCGCTGGACAACGAATGATGTTCTTGTGATATAATAGGTCGCCATGGAAACGATACATGGCTCTGTCTCTGCAACAGCTTTCCGATGCCGAAATCCTTCAATCGTGTTCTACCTCCCCTTCTGCAGAAGCACCAGACTTTGTGGAAAATTCAAGAAGGTATATATAACATGTCGAATACCCTCAAAATAAGATGTATTTTACTCGTCTCTGCAATCATATGAATTTCAAAACGTTCTTCCAATCATTCGTATACCCGTTTCCCCCCATGAATGTTCATACGACTCGATCTATTAAAACCAAATGCTGCTCGTATTGAATATGTGGAAATGAATATGATCTCCCTCTCTAACAGGCAGTGGGCTTATTTAGTGGAACACCCAGATTGGAAAGAAAGCTTCCCAAAGAAGAAGCCAAGAATTTTTAGAAGGGCTGCTGATGGGAAATGGGAAAGGAGCTTTAACTGACTTCTTCTCTGCTGTTATCTTTATGTGAATCCTTTTAGTTCTGTTATTTTATATTAATGGCCAACATTGTTTAACATATTTCCATTTCAAACCGAAGGGAGTTCGATGATTTGAAAGGCTTGATAAAGCTTTGGCATGACGTACACATGAGCAGGTTAGCAAGGGAAGGAGGAGACGATAGATGTTTAGTGCTATGGTCCGATAGAGAACTCGGATGAGAACGTTGGAGGAACAAAACTCATTGTTTTGTTACGCTTCAATGACGTGTTGAGTCAGATGAGGGAAAAATAAGAGGCAAGGTCATTTTCTTATCCAAAAAGGAAAACCACTAGTTCCACTTTCAGCTTATAGATATAACAAGTAGAAGAAAAAGTATATGCTAAGCTCACTTTGGTTGGATTTAAAAGTCTTTATCTTAATCTTTTTAATGGTCAAAAACAAAATTCCTTTTCTTAGCTTTTAAATATTAAAAAAGGTAGAGATTAAACTTATAACTTAAACGATTTGTTTTATTTTTTCCCCTCATTCTAAACAAAGCTTAAAAATGTAAAAGAACATTGGCAACTTTCTCTCTCTATATATATATATATAAAGGTGTTGTTCATTTGATTTGTTCATAATAAGAACAAACGAAGGCGGATCCATTTCCAATTCCAAATTGTTCATCACTTTACTATGAAAGCTTCCATCATCTTCCGTGAAGATCAAAGAAACCCTATTTTCAGAGCCAAAATCCCTCTCAATTTCTTCGGTTTCCCCTTCCGTTCCGTCATTGAACTTGCTGAACCTGATAATCTCTCCTTCACCTTCAGCTCTTTCTTCAGATCCGGCCCTTCTTTCAACTTCTCTTACCGTCCCAATGATTCTCTCGCCCCTTTCACTCTCGCCCTCAAGGCCGGAATCGGACTCTTCGGCTCCTCCATTCACTCTCCTATGAATTTCACCGCCGAATTCAACCTTCCAGGTAATAAACCCCCTCTGTTCTTCCTTCACTTCAGGCCTCGACTCGGCGATTTCACTCTCCGCAGATCGGTCCAGTCGCACACAGCGACTTTCAATTTGCCTCTGGATGATGATCTTGCTGCTATGAGTAGCGGTAAATCCGTCCATGGCGGCGAATCTTCGGGAGAAGTTCATACTGACCTAGGTCTCGGAAATACGATATTCTCAGGCCAGAGAATCCATTGTTCGGGGATATATAATCGAGTCCATGATCTGCTCTCGACTGGGGAGATTAATGCGAGATCGACATTTAAGGTCAAGAACTCGGCGGCGGTGAAGTTCCAATGGTGCATGAGGTTTCCGATGAGCATGAAGAAGGAAGAGTTTACGGCCAAGGTTATGCTCTCCAAAATTCCATATCTAGCATTAAGAAAGATCAAAATCGAACTCGCGGCGGCCAGCGACAGCGAACGAGAAAGCAATGAGGCCGTCGGCGGCGGAGAGATTTCAGTTTTGAAGAAACATTTGGAGGATTTACGGACAGAAAGCCTGTGGATGAAGAAGTACATAGAGCAACTTCGGTCAGAGATCGGTGACCAGATGGCTGCACCGGCGAATCCGCCGGTTGAATCTCGGAAGAAAAGGTGAGTTTGAAAAAAGCGTCAACGAAGTCCACTTTTTTTGCGGACTCAAAACGGAAGTCGCGTGATCTGACCCAGGCCCGTGATTGTTAGCCCATTGGGCTTTCGGATGTTAATAATGAGATCCTGAGGGACCGTTGGGCAATAATTGAAGTTGGCAGGACTGCAGTTGCAACAAATTGCAATATCATGTATGCCCTTTTTGTTTCATTTTGTGTCCAATATTAAATTATTTTCATACTACTCTGATACCATGATTTTTTTTTTTTTTTTTTGAAAAGTTTTAATTGATTTTAAATTCAATTATAAATAGTTTTATAGAATATAAATATTTCCATGATTTTGAGTATATTTTAAATAAAATTAAGTGAAGATAACAATAACCCAATAATAAAAAATCTAAATTGATTCTTATGACTATTTAGGATCATAATTGACGGTAACAAGGTTTTTTCATCATCAAATGCACCTGGATGACGACACAACAACGAATAGCTACAGCCAAAATCACTCAAAAAAGGTAACCTTTAATTCTTTTGGAATAAAGAGAAATGATTGGTTGTGTTGGGTCACATGGAATTTAATATTTTAAGAGTTTTTTTTTTATATCTAATTGAATTGTTCCATGAAATTAGTCGAGATACATAGAACCTAATCCGAACATGAAAATGAACCTAACCCGAACTTGAAAATGAAAATGAGTTATGATTATATTAAAATATGGGTATTGGAGACAAAATATTGATTGGTTTATTTAAGATTACAGCTTTGTACTACAAATAACTTTGTACAAACTTTGTACTAGTTGTACCAGTTGTTACCATTATAAAAAAAAATTGAACAGAAAAGAATTCTTTTTGAGATGAAGCTACATGGCGACATTATGTCCTTATCATTACAAGAAAGTGGATCAAACAGCCTCATCTGTTCTTATATATACCATTTACATTTTATTGTATTCCTTCATATGATTATGATATGACTGACCAACTATTGATGAGTGATTGCAATGCGCTTTGTCAGCTCTCTTATTTGGGATCGCCATTGCTTGATTTCTATGTTTTTGAAGGATGTGAAACTTTCTCTGAAGCAGAGTCTTCATTTGTATCTTCCAACACTGAAGATGATCAACATCACCTTCCTTTCTCATCTTTTACTTTTGATTCATCAAAGCATCAAGGAGAAGCTCAAGAACAATCAAGCTGTTGCCAAGAGCTCAATGGTGACTGTTCCTGGTCATGGGAAGAGTTAATGGGGAATGAGAACAAAAAGGTTTGTTGCTACGTCCGTTCTGTTTTGGTTTGGTTCATTTGTTCTCTGTACTTCCATATATGTTGAATTTGATTCGTATATTTTGTGTTTAAACCTTCTGTTTTTTGGTTCTTGTTCTCTTTTTCGTTGTGTTTCAGTCAAAATCAAGGATTGGTTGGAAGAAGCGAATTAAATGGACTGAAGAACTTCACCAGAAATTCATGAATTGTGTGGATCAGCTTGGTGGCACTCAAAGTAAGTAACGTATTTGGTAAATGAGGATATCCCTATCTGAATTAGTAACTCTATTTGTTACAAAAGTGCAGAAGCCACACCAAAGCAACTCCTTCACTTGATGAAAACTGAAGGATTGACTCTCATCCATATAAAAAGCCACTTGCAGGTTTGTATGCAGAAACAAGCTAGCAGAATTTCACTCTAAATTTCTGATTCTTTGATTTAGTTTTTAACCATGGTTTTTCGTTTCAGAAATGCCGCATTTCTCAGCATATTCGAGATTTTTCAAAAGGTATATTTTATATATTACAGAACGTGTCAATCTAGATAGTTATCGTCATATACATTAAAAGGTATAATGACTAAAATAAAATGTTAAGACTGTCACGACTACCCAAACTAGAAATATAATTTAACTGAAACTCTCAACTAAACCAAACAAATATCGACGTGTTTTTCAACTCTCCATATCCCCTCGTGTACTAATACTAAAAGTCGATGTGTTTGTGAAGCAGGAAAACCTGAGAGAAAAACTGACAAAGAACTGATGCTGGCCAACCAAAACAGGTAGATTTGTGTACTAGGGTTGCATTTACATTAATCACAACAAGAAAATGTTACAAACTTTCCTTACACATCCAAGCAGAGGGAAGCAGCTGGTGGAATCTGCGAGACAACTACTTGCTACACACAGTAGTTTGAATGAACAATTGGAGGTCTGATAATCCCATTCCAAAATTTATTGATTTGAATGTTCCTTGGAAGTTATAATTTCATCAAATTTGACATCAAACATGAGTAAATAATAAAACTTCATGCTTTATTCAAAAGTAAGGTTTAAGATACTAATGATGCTTGCCTTTTGGGTACAGGTTCAGAAGAACTTGATATCAGCTATTGAAGAACAAATGAAGCAACTGAGAGGAGTTTTAGAACGAAGAGGGAAAGCTGTTGTATTTAGAAATGAGGAAGAGAGAAAATAAAATGGGGTATGGTTGAATCAGAAAAATGTGTTCTTTCTACTGTCATCTTTTGATGTCAATATCCCTTCAATCTTCAACAAAAGTAACTCACATTTAAACACACAAATAAAGGATTATAGTAACAGAAATTCACGAGACAAAATCACGCAGAGGTAGTATACAATATTGCTTTCAAGTCCGATGTATAGTAAAAATGGTAACTTATTATATCATATTAGACCCGAAACAAGAAACACATGCAGAAGTACCACCATTTAACATGATCTTATAAACCACAACCACAACCACAAATACACACACACATATATATATATATATATATTGGTTTTAAATGAAAGTATCCCTATCGGTATTACTTATCTTTCAAGCCGACCACGAATTTGAATCCTTCTCGAAAAGTATTGCCAACAATCAAGAAACTGCACTCAAAGATCTTGTTCAGCTCCCTATCATGGCTGGAACTAGAAACCAGCCCATCCAGCAGGTTGTGAAGATATGTCGGTGTTTTTCAGTTCACCACCAGTACGTTGTTGTGGACAATTCCTTTCACCAGTACGTTGTTGTGGACAATTCCTTTCACCAGTAAATCCAGATTTGTTGGAGCTTCCAGCAGACACGGCTGTGAAACTCTCAGCTCCGAAGCCCCAGCTTTCAAAACCGGTATTGTCTGAAGAAGCCTGCTTTCTCGGCAGGCTTCTAGTTCTCACAGATTTGACTTCCTTCTCGGTCGTAACAGACTGCTGGTTTGAGGATTCTTCTGCAAAGGCCTGCCATGGCTTTGCATCAGGGATAGGAGTACTCGAATCGGCCTTTTGCAGCTGAGAGGTGAAATTAACACAAATCATTTTACGTTACAAAATGATGGGAGCTTTCCTTGCAATGAAGAATATCAAATCCACGGGACGAAAAAGAAAGTGAGAGCATACCCGAGGCATGGCAGAAGATTGAACGTCCGGTGAGTTATGAGTTTTTATTTCAACTTTCTTTGGTGATGGACTCCTAGCAGCAAGTGCTTGCTTGAGCTCCTGTATCTCTTGCCTCTGAGAACGGCAGATTGCAGACAACTTTTCAAATTTGGATGTGATTTCAGCTTTCTCCACATTTGCTTGCTTCAGTTGCTCCTTCAACTTCTCCACCTCAGCCTCTAATGCTACTTCCTTTCCTGGTCTGTTGTTAGTGACATCAGAACTGAATTTGGAAGTATCAAACTCAGAAACAAAATTGTTAAAAGCTTTATCCTGGAAAGCTGCACTCTCGGTTTTTGATGCTTTTGATCCCTCAGAACCACGGTCTGTTTCATTCTGGAAAAACGATAATTTGATGTCACTGAATGAACCACTGTCTGTCACTGTCTTGTTTGACTTTTGGACTACATCCCCAGGACTAGCATTCTTAAGCGAAGAATGATTATTTGGATTAATCCTGTCATGTTTTGATGAGCGAGAAGTTGACTCTTCATCGAACCTAATTCTGTTGGTATCCTCGTTGACGGTGTCATTGGCATGTTGAGTAGACCAGAAAGCTCCCAGCGGTCCTCCACCTCCACCTCCCCCTCCCCCTGCTGCCTTAGGCATATGTGCTGCTGCTTGTGACGAACTTTTAACTGAAGGAACTGCGGGTGGACTTCTACGAGGCATAGGAGATGACTTGTTCACAGGGTTGGAAGTGCCTGCTAAGATATCATTCATATCACCAAACTTCAACACCAAACCATAATTTTTAAGCCCTTCACACATTTGTCCAACTAGAGATATAAACGACCTCTGTTTTCTCAACTAACTCGATAATGAATAACTAGTAAATGCTCCTGAAGAATAAGATTTAATTTGATGCCATCATGTATCCTACCTCCTATCTGAGACATTGATTAAAAAGTATCTTAAGGGAAAGAGATCTAATCAAACTAGTGAATGCTAAAGCTACCTTCACCCTCACCTTCCTGTCTGTCTGTAGAGGGCATGTCAGGTGGCTGATCAGGTAATGACTTCTGTGATTCAACTGGTAGCTGGTCATTAGCACGAAACCAGACCTGTCACAACACAAACAAACCCTAAGATTAGGAAGGAATTATGAAAATCCTGACACCTATTATTGTCATGGACATGAGCAATCTAAACTAACCTAAATTCATGGAGATGAATGGCCAATCAAGCAAAGCGCTTGCCTGCGTGATATCTGGTCTGTCATTTGGGGACGCTTGGAGCATATCTCTGATTAGGTTTGTAATCGATGAGCTATATTTAGGTAACTCTGGTATTCGATAGTTCCCATTTAAAATTTGAAGTTTTGAATCTCCATCAAAAGCACTTTTGAAGTAACATATGCGGAAGAGAAGACACCCAAGAGCCTGTCATGTAATAGAATTCAAATCTCAATTATAAAAGGAACATCAAACACCTAAACGTGTATAGAATGTATGAGATCAATCATCCTCAATATATGTCTTGAATTTTAATTTTTGGGCAAATTGTTGGAATAGTACACAATGTCGATCTTCCTAGCTTCAAGATCAATAGTTAACATGATAATTTGCCTGTAAGCTACCTCATATATGATAAATCAAATTTGTGTTCAACCAAGAAGAAGAGTGCTAAGAATCATAATAAGTGTATACATAAATTCTATATCACAATTGATGTTTTGATACAGAGGAAGACTTCACATACCCATATATCAACTTTCTCATTTATAAGCTCTCTCCGGTATAGATCCCACATCTGTTCCATAACAGTAAAAAGATCAAAATGACAATCATATTTACAACCAGAGATCACAACTGCAAGTGTTTTTTAGGATATGGATCCTTTAATACCTCAGGGGCTCTATAGGCTGGTGTAGTGTACTTCCTGATGTTATCTTCTTCCACTCCCATTTCCTCAGGCTTCTCGAAACGCTTGTGGTTTGTAGAAGTGCTTCCAAAATCACATAATTTCCAGAGGCCATCTGAGCCTAACAAAAGATTTTCAGCTTTCAAATCTCTGAAAATTGCAATGACAAGGGAAAATCAATAATTAGTAATGCAATAAAAGTACCGCTATTAATAAGAATCAAGATTTTAGTGTAGTCATTCGATTCGGTAGCAAAAAACATAGACAATACAATCATTATGTAAACCATACACCATTGACAGATGTTTCCAAACATGGTTGGATTAGATCAACCAAAACCATATATAACAAAAAATAGAGCGTCGACATGACTTCAAAGCTATTGAGTAGAGATCTTTTTACCCTGAATTACAAAGCTTCAAACTAACAACCAAACTACTAGCTGAGAAAAATCGCATCGGTTCATTAACTAGTTATGGAATATGACAGAATCAAGATTTTGTATATTATTATAACTTATAAGATCATCACATTGCTGGAATATAGATAACTAGCTACCGTGTTTTACCTGTGAGCAATTGGCGGGGAATGACAATGAATTGCAAATACTGCATTACAAACATCTCTGAAAATTAAGAGAACTTGATTTTCATCAAAGTATCCAGCTCCTCTACTCTCCAGGACACTAACCAAAGACTTCTCACAAAATTCCATCACAAGTAGAGCTTCCTTTGTGCGTCCCATATCTATGATAGTGTGGGCATAAAGTGTAACAACATTGGGGTGGCCCCTAAGTGATTTCATAACTGAAACCTCCTTCAACACCAATTCAAGAGATTCCTCATCATTGCATATAATGTGCTTCAAAGCATACTGATTCGAAATGTGTACAGCATCCTTGGCTAAGTACACACAAGAGAATCCTCCTTCAGCAATGACGTTTCTTACTTGAATCTTAAGATTTCCAACATCGATCGAGCGACCCTCGAGACCAGATGGTTCTTTGTGCAAGAAAGGCTTGAACCTCCACATGGTTTATAGATGTATAACGAAACTGAAACGGAATACATACAAATGAAAACATTATTAATATTACAATACACAAAAAGTCCCCTTCTTTTGGCAGATTTAAAAGCAAAAAATTGGAGCTGACAGGAACAACAAAAAATCATTCTCAATCGTTTCCTTGATCAGGCTGTAAACTTAAACCCTAAAACCTCAATCCCAATCAGTTCCAGAAAAATAGCATTCACATTCGCTCATAAATAGCAGATCCAATACTAGTCAACCAATTGCAATGGCATTGCTTATTGGATTTTAAGGTACAAAGCAAAAAAGTACATAAAAGTTGAAAATCCAATCAACTGTATACCCAGGAGACAATCAACGCATCTAAAGATCACTAGGCAATGTCCAATCCAAACAACGCCCTGGGATCTAGGAGTACAGCAGGGCACCCAATAACCATAGCGCCAGAATGAAGAACTAAACCCTAACTCCGATCTCAAACATCACTAAAATGGGAAAAGAACAACAATCCAATTCGATTCCGTAGAAAAACAGAATTACAAGCAAAGATAACAATCTGTAATCACCAGAAATTAGAAGCAAAACAACACGTGGAGATTTGGAAACTTACCCTACCTTGATGAAGAGGCGAGTTATGGAAGAGCAAGGAAGGGGTCAGAATCCGATGGAATTTAAGACGGAGGAGATGGGTGGCGATTGAGATCTGGGAGTTTGCTTGTGGATCCAGAGAAACGAAGAGAGATGAAATCTAAAGCTATATCTCACCTCCTGACGCAGACAGAGGGAAAAGAGGGTGCAAAACGAAAGCCCTCTCTTAAGATTGTTAAATGTTTTTATATATATATAAATACATTATCCTACATTATCAAAAATATATTATTTTAACCCATTAAAAATTTTAATTCGATAGTTAATCTTTTACTCCACATAAGTTTTTTTGCTTCATATGCTGACTCGGAGACCGGGACCTTGGCTTAGCAACGAACGAGCTGAAAGAGCTTTCTCCCCCAATAGTAGTCGAGGGCAGAAAACTCACCTAAGTTTATTTATGATTGTTAAGTGCGGAAACGTTCATTTAAAATATTTAAAAAATGATGTCATAAACTTAAAATTTTGTAATAAAAATTTAAATAAAATAAAGAAGAGAATAAAATCATGCTTTGGTCTAATCTAATACCTAGAAAATAG